AACCCTTTGGATGCACGCGGCCAACCAGTATGCCTCCACGCTCTCTTTTCATTTTGTGAGCGAGACAGAGAAACAGCGGCAGACCCCTGGCAGTTTCGTACCAGGCCACAATTCTCCGCTAACCAGCCAGGACCGTGGGCACGTGTCCAATGTGTTCAGGTCAGCTGGGATGCGAGCCCAGGACTCACGTATGGCTCCAGCACCCCGCAGCAGTGTCCTCCTGCCTGCGCTACCACAGTGGGGCTCGTACCTGGTACTAATGTGTGTGAATTCTCATGTGGAAATCCTAACCCCTAAAATTGGAGGTATTAGGAAGTAAGGCTTTGGGAGGTGATTAGGTCATGAGGGAGGAGCCCTAATGGTGAAATTAGTACCTACCTAGAAAGAGACCCCAGAGGGGCCAGCAGATGGCATAGTGGTTATGTCACTGGACACCTACATGGCCAGCTTTGGTGTGAGTCCCGGACCTGCTGGCTTGAAAACCATGCTGGACGCATGTGCGTGAGGGCCCAAGATCCTGGGAGGAGAAGAGATTGTGGCGTGGCCATCCCTTCTGGAGGGGCTAATTTCTCCCTCTCCCTCTCACTGTCTATGTCTCTCTCTTCCTCCAGGTCTGTGTATGCATCTTAAGGCCAAATCCTCTTAAAAAAAAAAACAAAAGAGAGAGAGAGAGCTCCCTCGTCCCCTCCAAGGTCACAGTGGGAAGGCGTTATCCACGAACCAGGCAATTCTGCTCGCACCCTGATCTTGGACTTCCCAGATTCCAGAACTGTGGAAATCAGTCTCTGCTGTTTCTGAGCCAGCCTGTGACACTTTGGTACAGCCGCTCAGACAGACAAAGACAGCACCCCTGCCCAGAACGGACACCAAAAGTCTTCATCTTTAGTTTAAATCATTGTAAATCATGTGTTTTTCAGCACATGCCAGATGCTGGCGTGTAAAAGTCAAATTTTCATAGCCCTCAAGCATTATTTCAAGGAATACACGAACAAATCCTTCTTCAGCAGATGGAATTTTTAATCATACTTCCATTCTGCTTCCCCCACAGACTTTTATCCTAACGTGACATATTTTGTGCTTTTATGTCTTATATTAATCACTCGATCATACTATGCAGCAGTCTGGTTTTAAAACGAGTTCCTTCTGGTGTAAGGAACTTCACTGCAATTATTATTAATACACAGCTGGTCAAACGTGCAAACACTGCAAGATAAATAAAACATGTGACAAAGAATCACTTATCAGAAAGGGTGGAAATTAATTGGAAAATCACCTTTTAATGAGATGGATAAAGATTACTTGCTGGGCCAGGCAGTAAGTAGCACAGTGGTTAAGGTGGCGGGTCCCACATGGCCAATTGCATGGTTTGAGTCCCAGACCCAGAGGCTCCATCATCACCCAGGGGTTCCTCGCCTTCTGCGGGAAGGTCCTGGATTCAGATCTTGGGTTTACCTGAACACTCTGGGCTGGGGTGGGGGTAGATTGCAGCATGAGACCTTGACAAGCTCTCTCTCTCTTTCATGAAATAACTTTAAAAAAAATTATTCTGGGGCTCGTAGGTGGCACATGGACTCCCATGTGGCCGACTGTGGTTTGAGTCCTGGACCTGGCGACTTAAAACGCATAGCAGACACATGTTCATGCATGCCCAAAATTCTGAGAGGAGAATGGAGAAGAAGGGATTGCAGCATGGCCATCACTCTAGAGGGTGATTTCTCACTTTCTGTTTCTCTGACTTTCTCTGTTTCTCCAGCAAGCACATGTGCCAAAAAAAAAAAAATGTTCTAGGACTGACAAAGGTCCATCCACTTCAGACTTGCTAGAGAACACTGTGCACCCTGGATCTTGAGCCTCTAAAGACTCAAGTCTCTCCCTCCAGAGACTCCCTCCAAGTGGCTGCCCATGGTACTCAGCCCTCTGCTGGTGGAGAAGAGACACCCACCAGAGGTCAAGAACCCAGGGCCACGGAAGTCCTCCCAAAGGGACCCCCTGCAGGCTGGCCTCTCCCACTCACCACCCCTTCATCCCATCCTCCTCCAGTGATGAAAAATAGAGACCTCAGAAATGGGGCAGGCAGGCTCCCCCCACTGCCACTGGCTGCTCCTGTCCCACACTCTGACAAACTGCCCAAACTGGCCTGTCTGGTGTTTGAGGAGCTCTTTTTTTTTTTTTTTCTTTTTGCTGGAGGGTGCACGTGCTCACCAGAGAGAGAGACAGAGACAGAGACATAAAGCAAGAAAAAACCCTATTGGACATGGTCACAGATAATCGCTTCTCCTCCATCCCTCCTTCCTTGCGGGATTCTGGGCACGCACACACATCTGGGGGGTGTGAGTCGCAACTGGGTCACTGGGTCTGAGTCTCAACTGTGCAGCTGGACACATGGACCCACCTTAACCATCAAGCCACGGCCTGGCCCTTTATTTATTTATTTTGACACTCTGTACCTTCTACCTTCCAAGGCTCCCCGCTCATCCCTCCTGTCGATCTCTCGAGAGCCCCGTAAGACAGAGATGAAAGACTGGCTGGTGGGGACTTTATAGGGCTGACAGGCTGTGCCCTGCACAACTCTGGGAGACACAGTTCGCTCCCTGGGATGCACAGGACGAGGCGGTTTGGAGAGCTCGGGCTAAAGGAGTATGGCTGGGATGGGTTCTGGTTTCTGTTGCATGCTCACGTCTGTGCTTCGGATCCTGAGCGCGTCATGAAGCCCAACTCCTTGCTGATCATGGGCTCCACCCCCTCCTGCTGGCACGTAGGGGAGGAAGGAAAGACCTCGGCTCTCCATGAAAACCTAGGACCAGGATAAGACTCCCTTGTGATGCTTGTGCTGGTCTCTGAATTTCTAGCATAAAAGGCTATTTTCATTTAAGTGGAATGGAAATGCAACAACTCGTGCCAAAATAAGAGCCTGAGGAAAAGCCTCTTCATTTCTACAGAGACTCAGCCTAAAAAGGCAAAAGGATGCCCAGCCACCTCGTCCTGGGGGCCACTGAAAGTGGGAGTGACACTCCATGCGGCCTGACACACTCAGCAGGTGAGCCCCTGAGAGGACAGTATACTGGGTTGTCAGAAGAGTCAGGATGTGTTTTGCACAGAAAAACATAAGAAATATGTCATGCTTTTCTGGCAATCTAACAGTTTTGGGCCAGGACCTGCAAACACGCAGTGTAACCAAAAGGGATTTGAAGAACTCAGTTTAAAGGTCAAGTCCTTCCATCCTTCAGAGACCGGGGGGCACTCTGAAATGTGTTGAACAGGCCAAGACATGCGGGCATTCTAAAACCAAGCTCATCTCGACCACAATGACAGCCTTCCAGCCCACCCTGGCAGTGACGGTGGCAGGCAGGGCTGGGGCCTTAGGGGACTGAAAGCCCATGCTGTGGGAGCTGGGCGGTGGCGCCGAAGTAAAACAGGACTCTGTGAGGTGGACCCACCTGGGAAGGTTCCCAGCTTGTGCCTGGAGACCTCCCTGAGAACACTGGGCACAAGTGTCCACGGGTGGGCGGGGCTGGCTGAGGCTTGGGGGTGGTTGTGGTGTCAAGACCCTGAGGAGGGTAGAGTCTCTCTGTCTCTATTTCTCTCTGTCTCTCTTATGTATGGGATAAATAAAATAAACATGAAAAAAAAAAAAGAAATGGGACTTGGCCCTAACAGCCCCCTCACCTGAGTCTCTATGCCAGGGCCCCTTGAGAGTTGGGTTCATTCTCCAAGGGGAGAGGTGGAGGTACCGGCTCAGGGAGGGGAGCTCTGGGAGCTGATCACCTCTCCCTACACCCCTGCTTCCAGAAGACCCCAGGCAGGGACCTGCAGATACCCCGGCTGTGCTGACAAGACTCCTTCGGAGGCTGCCACCCTTCCTGGTCAAGGCCCATTCCCTGCAGCTCATTGAGAAGGAACACTTACCCCTGGGGTGGGGACAGGCTCTTGTTCACCCTGTCCACCTTGACAGCCAGCTGCTTGCCCCTGTCAGAAGGCGGAACAGCTGGTAGCTGAAGGTGTCCCTGGTGCCACAAAGGTGGGGGTAAAACCTGGTCACTGCTTAAGAACAGCGTGACTGTGGCCCAGTCACTGCACTTGGCTGGATCGAAGGGCCCGCAGCTGAGTCGTCCATTTATGCCTAAAGAAGTTACCGGTGGCTGCAGGACACCTGGTGCCCAGGGAGCAGCATGAAGAAGGTGTCGGAGAACAGAGAAACCGGCCCTATGCGTCCCCGCCTCCCCGCCCTGTCTGCAAGGACGGCACCTCCCTCGCTCTGGAGTTACCAGTTAAATGACGCGGTGCCCTGCACGGAGGAGAGCCATGAAGCCCGGCTGTCATGGTCACCATCATCACCCAGGAAGGCCAGCCATGTGCGCTAGCAGGTGACCCCAGAAAGATCACCGCAGAGGGGAAAATCCTGCAGGAAAGCTCTGGCAGACAGCACGTTCATGGAGAAAGCAAGCATGGGGGGAGCAGCCTGGGCTTGACCCTAGCTGGGCTTCCTCCTCCAAGGAGGCCACTTGACCTCCCGAGCTGCTTTTTGTACCACAGATGGGGACAATGGCACATTACCACTAACTGAGAAAGTGAATGTATGTCTAGCCATTAACATGAAATAGACATGAAACAGATGCATTTGTCACACGGGTGCCATGTGTTTTTCCTAAACGCTATTTGGAAATAATCCATACAGCCATCACAGGTCAGGGGAAACCATCCCAGGACAGACAAGACCCAGGGAAGTGACAGCAAACAGAACAGCGCTCGTCTGTCACTTTAAACACGCTCCGTGTCTGATCACATACTCCCCGGATCGCACAGCTGCTGCACGATCCCGGAGAGCACATGCCCAGCTGGGAAAAGTCACAGAGGCCGGCCTGGACACTCACAGAGGCCGGCCTGGACACTCAGAGGCCCGGCGTGGACACTCACAGAGGCCGGCGTGGACACTCACAGAGGCCCGGTGTGGACACTCACAGAGACCGGCATGGACACTCACAGTCACTCCCCAACTGGGCCCCGCTCTGTCTTGGACCACAGGTGGTGCAGGGTGGGGAGGGGGGATGGTGTTGACGAGACCTCAGCTAGGGGGCTGAGAGAAGGAAGGGGTGGGTGCCCAACCAAAGGGCTGCAGGGCTCCAGGTCCAGGAACAGCAGAGGCAGCTGTGACCACCGACGACAGCCCAGTGACCACCACCAATAGTCCGGTGACCAGCCTGGCCCTCAGCCACTCGGACTGAGCAGGGATGCCCATTGGTGCCGGAAGTTTTCTCCCTTTTCAAGTTGGACAACACCGAGTCCAAATGCAATTTCCTCTCCTCTCCCTCCCACACCCCTCAGCGTCTCTCAGTTGGGTTTTGGATTTCAGTGGCTTCTCCCTTGTGGCCACTGACTTCCAGGTCAGCTCTTCTTGCCTCCAGACTCACCCTGGTAGGAGGGTCCCGAGGAGCAGAGCCTCAGTATCTGCCCTGGCTCCTCATCCACCCACCGCATGCACCTTTACCATTCAGGTACAGGTGCCCTGAAAGCCACCGCAGCCTCCTGGCAGGAACCCCACACAGACTTGGGGAAAATTTAGGTCCTGGGGGGCAAACAATGTTGACGAGCCTCCTGGCACCTGGGGTCTGCTACCTGCACAGACAGGTGACAGCCAGGCTGGACCCTCCGGACCTCCGCGCTGCCTGGAGGAGCAGGCTCAGAGACGGGGAGCCACCTACCAGAAGGAGGGAGGCTAAAATAGAATGCCTAGCTGCCTCTCCCCCTCAGCCCTGCCCAGGGCTGCAGATGCTGCCGCTGCGTCCCCGCTGAACAGTACTCACCAGACTTCAGCCTGAGCTCTCCCAAGCAGCCGTACGCGTCCGTGAGCTTGCCATACTGTCCCTTAATGACTTCCTTCTCCTCGGGAGCTGGGGGAGAGACGCGGCAGAGAGGACGTGAGCTGAGCCTCCGTTCGTGCTGTTCATTCACTGCGGCGTTCCAAGCTGCTCCCCACCCACTCGGGAAAGCAAACGCCAAGACAATGGCTCGGCCCACAAGCACAGCCGTGGAGGCTTTGTGATCCGCGAATCACAGAGCTGCCAGGATTCAGACCTCCCCACCAAGAGCCAGCTCTTGGAACCGCCGGACACTTCCCAGGACAGGGGGAGGTGGGTGAGGCCCAGGGTGGCCAGCAGTGCTGGATCGGGCTTCCCGCTGGGAGCAGGTGCCCTGAGCCTGGCCCCTGCCACACCACCCCCATCTGCCCCATATGCTCAGACAGGAGGGGGTCCTCGTTAACCAGGAGCCACTTCCCAAGGGTCATCCACCAGGGGCTTCACCCTGGATGTGCCCACCCACCCAAGGGACCTGTCACCACCCAGGGGAGACTCCGGGTGAGGGCCTGGGTCCAGTGGATCCAAGCAGGCTGCTGGTCCTGCTGCTGGGTCTTCAGCAGTCAAGCCAGGACACAGCCTGCTTAAAAGCTAGCTGACAGGGGGTCGGGGCATTATGAGAAGCCGGGAGCCCTCGCCTTCACCAGGACGCCACAGCCGCAGGCTCCTCTGGCTACTTCAGGGTCCTCCTCTCAGAATAATGTTTTTAATGCATGGAACAAAATAGAAACGTGGTTGAATCTTGCACACATCAAACTATGTGAAAGGAGCCAGCCACAGAAGACCTCCTGAATATTCCATGAAATGTCTAGAAGGCGAGTTTATACAGACAGAAAGTAGATTACTGGTTGCCAGGGCAGAGAGTGGAGGAAGAAGAGTGTGGAGTTATTCCTAGTGGGTACAGGGTCTCTTTTAAGAGGATAAAAATGTTCTAAAATTATACTGTGGCGACGGCTGCACAACCCTATAAATACATTCTAAAACACAGAGCTATACACAGTAAAAAGTAAGTTAGATGGTACGTGAATTCTATCTCAGTAAAGCTGTTACAGAAACATCAATGACAGGGCCAGCTGGTGGCGTAGTGGTAACGTAACTAGACCCACACAGGGGAAGATCGTGGGTTCACATTCTGGGACCGTCCTAGGCACACTGGGTGCACACACATGTGCCCATGGTCCACGCTGGCTGAGGGTGGGGGTGGATCACAGTGTGAAACCCTGTCTCTGTCTCTCTCATGGAAGAAAGAAAGAAACTTTTAAACAAAATCAACAGAATTACAAAATACAATCTTATTGAAATCTAGTTATCAAAATGTTCTTCCGGGGGTCCGCCTGTGGCCTAGTGGGTAAGGCAGCTGGATCCCACATGGCTGACTATGTAGTGCGGGTACTGGTCCTGGCAGCTTGAAAAACACGCCTGTTATACACGTATGCCCCAAATCCTGAAAAGGAGGGAGAAATAGAGAAGGGATTGCGGCCTGACCGTAGACCATGGTAGGGGTGCTTTCTTGCTTTCCCTCTCACTCCTGTGAGCACGTACACCCTCTGGTGAAGTTTTTTAAAAATATAATACATAAATATATACACATACACATTTTTATATACACACACACATATAAATTATATATATAGTATATATACATATATATAGGTATGTGTGCAAATATTTATTTATTTTAGGCCCAGCCCCTTGGCACAGTGGTGGCACAAGTACCCTGCAAGGCTGGAAGCCACATGCCAACCAAGGGTTGGAATTTCCAGGTCAGGGTGAGAACACGCCAGGCACGTGTGCAGGTGCCCGGAATCGAGAGGTACGGGGGAGCTAGGGAAGGGACTGCAGCATGACGAGGCCCTGTTGAGGTGTCTCTCTCACACGCTCACGCACATACTCTATAAGAACACGAACACTAAACTTTGCCCACCGTAGTCATGTATGTGCCTCGTTATTAGCAACTTCACAAAATCTAGTGGGACTTGCTACTCATTTTAACTCCAAGCCAATGAGGAGAAGTGTGTCTGAGGTACTTGCACGAGTGTGACGACGGCTGTAATTTCTATTGGTGACAAAGTCGGGGGCAGGGCTAAGGCACTGGTTTTGTTACTTACTTTCCTAGCTGAAGGAAACACTAAACTTCAGCTAGGGGTTATGAACATAAAAATGGACTTTTCTCCCATTGTCCAATCCCCACCAGATCCTTGAGAAGCCACGGCCCCAGGACAAGGACCTCGAGCTGGAAGGAGCCATCATCCGTCATCACGGAGGGGATTAAAGAGGGAGCTGACCCCTCCATGCCTGTCCCCATGAGCAACGGGAAGGAATTCCTGGGCTGCCCGGACTCAGGGTTACAGAACCGCACTGAGGAACGAAGGCCCTGATGAGATATTAGAGACTGTGACAGCAGCTACGGACCCCGAGGGCGGGTGCGGTGGCAAATCGTCGACGTCCCCATTCCTGCCACCCTGCTCTACCTCACGGCCTGCTCCGTGGCTTCACTGCCCCGCTCCACCTCACCACCCCACTCCACCCCGCTGCCCTGCCCGATGACCTCAATGCCCTGCTCCACCTCGGCCCTGCTCAATGGCCTCGCCGCCCTCCACCTAGCCACCCTGCTCGGCCTCAGCTGCCAAGGTGGGTCTGGCTACTCAGGTGCTGCTGCTCTGCTGTGTCCACTCATGACCTGGAGACACCACGTGTGCTGCCCTGGGGCCACGAACAAGCTGCAGAGAGGGGTGAATGCACACGTGGGACCCTGAAGAGGGAGGGGACCTGGCACAAGCCACAGAACTGACCAGGACTGCACTCGGCGTCTGTGACCACACACACGGGCTAGTAACGTGGGTGACAGGGAGACCCCAGCAGCCACTGGAGCTTCAGGGGAGACCTGGGGGAGGCGGGGGATCTGTACCATCTCTAACACTGTATGCACATTTTTGGCTATGTATTTTCATGGGGCTTAGAGTCATAGTTGCCAATGGAATATCGAAGGGGTTAGTGACCCCTAAAAAGGCTGAGAACCAGTAAAGTGAATTAATTTCTCCCTGATACTCACTTGAATTAGACTGACTGGGAGTTTTCTGGGGTGTTCGAGGAGGAGCAACCTACAGTCAGTTAGGAATCATAAACCTCCGAGCAGCCAGAATGCCCAGTGCTGAGGGCTAGGTTGATTTTCCAGCAGAGGCAGCAGGGATGGCTCTGTTTACAGCCAATGCACCTGTGAAATGCAGGCTCAGGGTCTCAGCAAGACTGGGAAGTCCCAGCCTCTCCTCCATCAACCTCCCTCCCAAACCTTAGGCAGCCAGGGGAGGCGGCCATTGTCTCCTATCTCTGCCATAGGAAATTACCAAAGGCAGAGGCTTAAAACAGCTGAACACACCGTGAGCCTACAGTTCCGCAGGTCCGAGTGGGGCTCGGTGGGCTCGCGCAGGTGCTGGCAGGGCCGTGTCCCTCCGGACTGCAGGGGAGGGCCAGCCTTGCCTTTGCGACTCCTCCTGCCTGGAGGGCGGCTCTGGAGGCTCCTTCCTCTTCACTGTTGCGCCCTGGTCTCTGCTCACCGTCTTCACATCCCCTTCTCTGGCCCTCTCTGGCCTCCTCTCCCTCTTGAAGGACTCCGGGGGTACACTGCACCCACCTGAACGACCCAGGGCCATCTCCCCGTCTCCAGGCCCTGAAGTCCATCACATCTGCACAGACCCTTTCACGTGCCCATTCGCAACCTGACCCACAAGGTTTGATCATGTGCTCACACTTGGGGCCTTCCTGGGCACACCGGGGGCACATATGTGTGCCTGTGATCCAGGCTAAGTTTGGGGATTAGGACACAGGCCTGTGGAGACCCAGGGATGGACAGAACTGCTCCTCCAGCCCACAGGTCTGCAGCCCTCTGCTCACGCACCGACACGGGGAGGAGGCAGCGGCCTCTCCTCCTGTGTCTGCTCCCAGGCTGGAGATGAAGAACGACATGGTCTGGAGGCAGTGACCACGCTACCGCTGAGGAACTCGGACTGTGTCACGTGCCCCTGGGGCCCTTCCCGGGCCTGTGAATCCCTAATCTCGCAGGCAGAAGCACAGGTCCCTTCCTGCAGGCCCCAGGCAGGCCCACATCTCCCCGGCTACAAGGACAGCAAGCTGCGTTAGGTGGGATGACCCAGCGTGCTCACGTCCCCATCTGCGTAGACAAGCTGATCAATACATTAAAATAATTTTGACACCAAAAACATCAATTCGACCGTAGCCACTTTACACAGCCTTCACACAGAACGTGAGCCCTAGCGTTATCTGGTTCTTACTTTGTTAGCCATAAAACAAGGAGGCCTTTGTGCATTCAGTCAACTATGCAAATAAACCTGACCAACAACGCCCACTCCCAGAGTGGGGACGGAGCTCAGGGGAGGCCGTGGAAACAGAGCAGACCCCTTCCCCTGCTCGGACTGTCCATAGCGGGTGTGGACAACACAGCCCACTCACTGGGAAAAATAAACAGAAACAAGTGAAAAAAAGACTCCCCAAAGCAGGGGCTGGCAGTGGTTAAGGCGCTGGACTCCCACATGGGCGATCGCGGTTCCAGTTCCAGGCTTTATCACTGTCCTTCTCTGTCTCTCTGGTCAAATTTAAAATAATAATAATAATAATAATAATAATAATAATAATAAAAATGACTGGCCTGGCTGCGGGAAGACTGAAATCGCAGCATGGGCAGGGTCATTCTCTCCGGAACCTGCAGGGGAGGATCCAGTCGCCTCCTCCCGCTCTAGGGTTTGCCAGCAGTCCTGGCACTCCTTGGCGTGAGGCTGTGTCACTCGGGCCTCTGTGGTCACGTGCCACTGTTTCCCTGTGCAACACTATTTTCACGCAGCCCTCTTCTCACAAGAGCAGCAGCCACACAGGCCTGGGCCCACTGTACTCCAGAGTGACTTCATTCAACTTAACGAATCACAGGCCTTACTTCCAAATACGGTCCCGTGCCGGGATATTTTGACATGTCTTTTTGGGAGAAGACAATCCAATCCCTCACATTCGGCCACCTTCCATTCCCA